TGGCGGCGGTGGGGCGTCCCGCGTTGTTTGTGGTGGCCGTCGTGCTGTGCTGCGTGTGTGGCTGTGCAGCGGCCCCTGATGTGAGTGATAATGGCGAGGATCCAGTGATTGTTAACATGAAACAGGCGAAGGAGAAGGCGATTAAGGCCAAGGAAGCGGTGGACGAGGCCAAGAAGGCGGTGGACGCTGTAAAGAGTGCGACGGAACAATTCAAGACTGCGGCTGAAACGGCGTCACTGGCAGCTGACAAGCTTAATGAGAAAGTGAAGAAGGGGGGCAATATTGATAAGGAGGACACTGTTGATGGTGTCACTAGCTTGGCTAATAAAGCAGAGAGCACGACAAGGACATCTCACAAGTCCTTTGTTTCACTCTGTGAAAAAGTCAAGGAAGCAGCGGATTCAACGAAGAAGGCAGAGACTTTGTTAAAGGAAGCGGAGGGGATGGCTGGCAGTGCAGCGAATGACGCGGATGGAGTTATCAGCAAAGGAGCGAAGCACACAAAGATCGAAATCGTAAAACTATCAGAAGAGTTGTCGTCACTAACAAAATCCCAGAAGTGTTCTGAAGAAGCAGAAGGGGATGAAAAGAAGAAGGGGAACGCTTTCCAAGCCCTCAAAAACGCTGAGAAAGTGTACACCTCTGTCCAACCTCAGACTGCCAGTACATCCTTAACTGTAACCCAGCAGCAAAAGAATGATGCTGAAGAAGCTGCTAAACTTGCAAAGGCTGCAGCGGGAGACGCGGCGGCGGCTTCCAGCTCCGCTGGCAGGTCAGCCGACTACGCCGGGAAAGCCGTCAGCAGCGCTGAGTCATGGCTAGGGCAGGTCGAAGCTGCATTGCAGGCAGTTAACAAACTACAGGAAGAACCTGAGCATTTACCTGCCGCTGATCAGCCTCCGCCACTTTCACCTTCGGAATTGTCAAAGGACGAGTCACAGAGCCAGAGTCTCCAACAGGATCCACTGAGCAGTACTTCCAATGGTGGCAAGACTTCTGACCAACAGCAAG